TTTTAAAAAGAAATAAAGAAAGCCAGATGGCACTGTCCTCAGCAGCCCAGTGGTCTCGGTTCCGTCGCGCACGTGCTGATGAGAGTCTCCAGCCTCGGGAAGCTGTTTGTTTGCCAGGATTATGTGCGATGATCTACATCAAGCCCTTTGGCAGCCTGCCTGGGCTTTAGGCTTTTGTTATCACTGGAGATGGAGGCGAACGGGCCTCCGCTGACGCCCAGGACCCGAGCGCTGAACCCCTGGTTTTGGGGAAGCATCCCTACGTCCACATTGGCTGGAGACCACCTCGGGCGGCTATCACCCGTTCTCACGGCCACTCCCGGCCCCTATTGCCATGCGGAAGGGCTCCGCCTCTGAAACCACCAAATCCCACCTCCCACTCCCTGACCACAGCCTCCCGGGGCTGTGGGTGGCTCGGTCGGTTGTACCTGTTTCTCCACCTCAGAGGCGCCCTGACCCTTCTCATCCAGCCGCCCCTCCGAGCCCCTTCTGTCCCCACTTCCTCCGCCCGGCAGTCCACCCCTTAGTGACCCCCTCCCGGGGCCCCGTCTTTCTCCCTCCCTCCTACCCTCCCCCAATCCTCAGCTTCCCTGTCTCAGCACCACACAGTCCTAGATCTGCCTGTTCTTTGCTGGAGAAAAAACAACAACAAAATCAACCAACTGGCCTAAACTGGTTTAGATCAGCGGATAGAGCATCGGCCTGTGGACTGAAGGTTCCAGGGTTCGATTCTGGTCAGGGGCAGATGCCCCGATTGCAGGCTTCATTCCCAGTGGGGGTCGTGCAGGAGGCAGCTGATCAGTAATTCTCTCTCATAATTGATGTTTCTGTCTTTCACTCCCTCTCCCTTCCTCTCTGAAATCAATAAAAAAAAAAAAATTTTTTTTAAATCAACCAACTGGCCAAAACTTGTTTGGCTCAGTGGATAGAGCGTCGGCTTGCGGACTGAAGGGTCCCAGGTTCGATTCCGGTCAAGGACATGTACCTTGGTTGTGGGTACATCTCCAGTAGGGGGTGTGAAGGAGGCAGCTGATCCATGTTTCTAGCTCTCTATCCCTCTCTCTTCCTCTCTGTGAAAAAAAATCAATAAAATATACTTTTTTAAAAAATCAACCAACTGATCAGCTGGCTCCTTTGTCCATTCTCGGCATCTTCTCTACAGTCAGCACCCCCCCCCCCTCCTGCCCCCTACCCCCATCTGCCCAGGCGTCTGAGGAGATGCAACTGGCTCCTGGTCTTCCTATCTCCCAGGGAGAAAACAAAAGCAGCCCAGCAGGCCCTCCCTCCCCTTCCTGCACCACCTGACCCACACCCCCACCTGCCACCCAGCCGCCCTTTCCTCCTTCCTTCTTCCTTCCTTCCTTCCTGGAACAATGGTAGGGGTGGTGTCTGTGGGGCTGCTGTCTGGGGCGAATCCCCCCACTCTCACCATTGCACCATCTGCCCCTTTGTCCTGGGCACCTCACGCCCTGGGGTTGTTAGTTCTGCACAGGGGTTCCTCCTCGGATCCTGGTGCCACCTCGGAGCTGGTTGTGTAACCTTGGGTGGGTGACTCCTCCGCTTCCTCCTCAGTGCACGGAGGAGAACAAGAGTCCCTTTCTCACGGGGACCATGGGAAGGGCTCAGGGAGTGAACATACCAAAAAAAAAAAAAAAAAAAGTAGCATTAAGACAGTGACAGCGTGGGACAGAGATGTGCAGACTGGGACCAGCACCCTGTGGCCACATGGGGAAGGGGGCCGTCTACAAGCCGAGGAGAGAAGCCTCAGGAGAAACCCAACCTGGGACACACCTTGAACTTGGACTTCTGGCCTCCATCACGATGAGAAAAATAACCATCGGGCCCTGACAGGTGTGGCTTAGTGAATAGAGCATGGGCCTGTGGACTCAAGGGTCTCGGGTTCGATTCCGGTCAAGGGCATGGACTTTGGTTGCAGGCACATCCCCAGGGGGGAGGGGTGTGTATGTGCAGGAGGCAGCTAGTTGGTGTTGCTCTCTCATCGATGTTTCTAACTCTTTATCCTTCTCCCTTCCTCTCTGAAAAAAAAAAAAAATTCAGTACATTTTTTATTTTTATTTTTAAAATATATTTTATTGATTATTATTTTTTTTTTTTACAGAGAGGAAGGGAAAGAGATAGAGAGCTAGAAACGTTGATGAGAGAGAAACATCAACCAGCTGCCTCTTGCACACCCTCTACTGGGGATGTGCCCACAACCAATGTACATGCCCTTGACCAGAATCAAACCTGGGACCCTTCAATCCGCAGGCCGACGCTCTATCCACTGAGCCAAACCGGTTTCGGCACAATACATTTCTTAAAAAAAAGAAAATAACTATCTGTATTTTAAGCTCTCCCCCCACCATGCCCACCCCCCAAAATAAAACAATTCTGGCATAAAAATCAGTGCTCAAATGGGAACCGACTCCTCTCATCATCACCAGAGATTCAAAGAGTGAAGCAGAGGTTCAGCTGGTCCCGGAGTTTGCATGCGTTCTCCTGTATCTCTACCAGCTGGATGACCTTGGACAAGCCATGTCCCCTCTCGCAGCCTCAGTTTCTCTGTCTGTAAAATGGGGACAGGATAGCACCTGTCTCAGGGAGCCCAGAATTGCCATAATCTCACTGCCCTTACTTTTTTTTTTTTTTTTTCCTGCCCCAGTGACACAGGCCTCCCCTCTGGTCCTCAGACACACACCGGGACTCCTTCTCCCAGCTCAAGGCCTCAGCCCCGGACAATCTTCCCCCAGAGACCCCCACGGCTCACTCCCCAGTGACCTTTAAGCCATTGTTCGAAGTTGCTCTCATCAGGACTTCCCTAACCCTGCCCTCCTCCCTGCTTGCTTGTTATTTTTAAAAAATATATATATATATATTTTATTGATTTTTTACATAGAGGAAGAGAGGATAGAGAGCTAGAAACATTGACCAGCTGCCTCCTGCACACCCCCTACTGGGGATGTGCCCACAACCAAGGTACATGCCCTTGATCGGAATCGAACCTGGGACTCCATCCACTGAGCCAAACCGGCTTTGGCGGGTCTGTGTTTTAGCCCAGCATCTGGCTCTCCTGTGTCACCAGGGCCCGAGCCAAGGCCTTCAGCACCAAGCAGGGCACCCCCTCCCCGGAGGCCAGCTTGTTGGGGTGGGGGTGGGGGAGCAAACATGCACGGGGGCCCAGGTGGGCATGAGCATCCCCAGGCAGCACCTGAGCAGGGCAGGTCCCAGGTGCAGGCAGAGGCAGGCTCAGCTGGGGCAGCCTGGGCACAGGCGGGAAAGTGGTTTGGGGGCGGACGAGGGAGGGAGGGAGGGAGAAAACAGAGAGGCTGCCTCCTGAGTCACCGCGTGTGGGTCAGGGCGGGCTGCTTAGGCTGGGGACAAATTGCAGTCATTAGGGACTTTAAGAGGCTGGGGGAGGGGCTGGGCAGGGAGGCCCCGCTCCCCCTCCCCATCAGGATGGGTTCCCCCAACCCAGGGCCCCACCTCGGGCTTCCTGGACCTTCCCTCATCTCCCCGCTGTCTCCCCGGGTCTCTCTGGGTCCCTGTCCCCCTCCGTCTGAGTCCCCATCGCTTCCTGTGCATCTGGCTCTGCACCGGGCCTCCCGTCCCTGTCTCCCCTGCCCGGGACCCTGCTCCCTCATTGCCCAGGACTGTGAGGACCACAGAGTGAGGAAGCATGGGTGTCTCCTGCACCTCCCACCCCTGCCAGTTCCCCCCTACACACACACCCCCACCCCCGCCTCTCCCTCTGCTGTGTCACCTTCCACTGCTCCCTCTGCTCACATCCCCACCACCTGTCTGGCATCTGTCCCTCTCACCTGCCTGGTCTTGCCTTATCCTTCCGGGATCTTTCTGCATGCCCACCCCCCATCATCGCTGCTTTACCGCTCAGCACCTGTGTGTGTGTGTGTGTGTGTGTGTGTGTGTGTGTGTGTGTGTGTTTGGGGGCGGGGGACCCCTCTTCTCTCTTTCCTTTGTGTCTCTTCCTATTGTGTCTGCACCTTCTTCCCTGTTCTTTTTTATTTTATTTTAATATATTTCATTGAAGTTTTCTACAGAGAGGAAGGGAGAGGATAGAGAGTTAAAAACATTGATGAGACAGAAACATCCATCAGCTGCCTCCTGCACACCCCCTACTGGGGATGTGCCCACAACCAGGTACATGCCTTGACTGGAATTGAACCTGGGACCCTTCAGTCCACAGGCCAATGCTCTATCCACTGAGCCAAACCAGCTGGGGCCTTCCCTGTTCTCTCTGCTTCTCGCTCAGCTTTTCCACAGGGACCGCTCCATGAATCAATCTCTCTCTCTCTCTCTCTCTCTCTCTCTCTCTCTCTCTCTCTCTCTCTCCCCTTCCCACCCCACCTCGTCTTTTTCCATCTGCCTCCCCTGTCTCTGTCTCTCTCCTCTCTCTGCCTCTCCCACTTCTCTCAGGGCCTGTATTTGTCTCACCTCTTTTTCCCTGTCCACCTTCACAGACCTCTCCAGCCTCTGTCCCTCCCTCTCCCAGCCCCTCCCAGCCCCTCCCTCGGAGCCCCCCTCCACCCTCCCCCCATCCGCCCTGCCCCGGGTCCCTGCCCTGGACCTCTTCCAGACTCTAACACCTTTACGGGCAGGCGGGCAGGTTCGCCTCAACAATTGTGGCTGCTTTTCTGGCCAGAGAGGGAGGGAGGAGAGGGCACCCGGGAGTCTTGGAATGGGAACTGAGCAATTAATAAAACGTCAGGAGGAGGAGGGCAGGTTGGGGGGAGAAGGGGGAAGGTTGGGCAGGGCCAACTGCCCAGACCAGGGATAAAAGGATCTACGGAGTGACAGGAAGGTGAGGCACCATCCCCACTTCCTCCTCCCGGGAAGACATCAAGGCCGGACGGACGTGGTGCTCCTTGGTCAGAATCCTCCCTCCCTCCCAGCTGCCGAGGACCCCGGATTCACGTCTCTGAGGAAGGGTCTCGTTGTCTCTCTGACCCTCAGCCTCTGGTCCTTCTCTCTCACTTTCTCTGTTTTTGCCAGAAACCCACACCCCGAGTCCCCAGAATGCTCCTCCTGCTGGCCTCACTTCAGATCCTGGCTCTGGGTAAGAGAAGCAAATGGGGTCCCGGGTAGGAGGTGCCCTGGAGATGCTGAGAAAGGAGGGGCAAAGGGCGCTGGGGACCAAGATGCTCTTGGGTGACCAGTGAGGAGGAGACAGACTGGGGCTGTCGCTTGGAAACCCAGGCCGAGGGATGGAGCAGGGGGCCCGAGTACTGCTGACTTGGGGTGATATCCCAAGGTTTTTTTTGGGGGTCATCCAAGAAAGGAGGGCACAGGGTGCCCCCAAGTGCTGGTGGGGGTGGCGATGGGGTGGCAGGCTCGTGGTGGGGATGTGGTGTGGAGCACGGAGTAGGTGTGGGGAGAGATCGCGGGACGGGGGGTGGGGGGGGAGGCGGGGGAGGAGAGGGGGTGGCCACATTGAGTGGGACATTTGGGGACGGGACAGGGAGCTCATTGAATGTTTTAGGGGAGGAGTGAGGGGTGTCTTGAGATAGAGCGTGTTTGCGGGAGGATGCTGTGGAGAGCAGAAGACACAGCCAGGCCCTGGGTGAGACCGTGGGGATGGGGCCCGTAAGCTCCCTATTGTGTTGGAGCAGACAAGGAGGTCCCGTGGGCGGGGTTGACAGAGGCGGTGGGTCAAGGATTAAGTATAGAAAGTGGGGGGCGGAAGGGGGGGAGTTGGGTCCAGAAGATCCTGGCTTGCTGGGGGCGGGAGGGAGGACGTCGGCTCACCTGCTCTTCCCACCCCACCCCTGCCTGCTCCCAGCCATGGTCCAGAGCCAAGAGGATGAGAACAAAATAATTGGCGGCTACTCCTGCATCCAGCACTCCCAGCCGTGGCAGGCGGCCCTGCTGGTGGGTGTCACCCGCAGCTTTCACTGTGGAGGGGCCCTGCTGTCCGACCAGTGGGTCATCACAGCCGCTCACTGCTCCCGCCCGTGAGTGGCACCCTCCCCCCCCACCCCTACACTTCTGCCAAGTGACCTCCCATTTGGAGGCCCAGAGCTCAGCTCAGAACCAGAACCCAACGTGGTAGCTGGGTCCAGGTTGGGGGGTGGGGGGGTGGGGAGGGGAGTCTAGAGTAAGGTGACCAGACGTCCTACTTTTGGCGGGAGAGTCATGATTTTTAACAATTCGTCCCGTGTCCCGATGCGTTTTAAAAAGTCCAGATTTTTACAGCGGGGAGGGTAGGGAGATCTGAGGAAGATAAGAGATCAACCGAAGGACTTGTATACGTGCATTTAAGTACAACCAATGGACACAAAACTCTGGGGAGGGAGGGCATGTATGCGGGGGGGGGGGCAATGATATATGTACAGAGATAATAATTTAATAAATAAATAAATAAATAAAGCCCCAATTTTTGGAAAGATTCTTCTTTCCAAAAATCGGGACTTTTTTGGAAACGCTGCGGGACACGGGACAAATTGTTAAAAATAGGGACTGTCTGCCGAAAACGGTTTGGCTCAGTGGATAGAGTGTCGGTCTGCGGACTGAAAGGTCCCAGGTTCGATTCTGGTCAAGGGCATGTACATTGGTTTCGGGCACATCCCCGGTAGGGGGTGTGCAAGAGGCAGCTGGTCGGTGTTTCTCTCTCATCAACGTTTCTAGCTCTCTATCTCTCTCCCTTCCTCTCTGTAAAAAATCAATAAAAAAATATATATTTTAAAAAAAATAGGGACTGTCTTGCCAAAACCGGGACGTGGTTTTGGCAGGACAGTCCCTAGTGACCAGACGTCCCGGTTTTAGTCGGAGAAGAGCCTAGAACCACAGACACAGCTCCACAGACAGAATCCAGCACAAATCTTGAACTCAGTGTAGGATCTGAAAGAAGAAGGAGAGTTTAGAATCCCCCTGTACACCAGCGTGGAGGCATCCCTTCCCCCAGAACCTGGAATCCACTGTATGATCTCAAGATCCATCTGGAGGCCGGGGCCCACAGAGAGACCGAGGTTAGGGGCCCATGCTAGGTGGGTGGTTGAATTTGGGGCACAATCTACCTTTTAGGAACCCAGGCCCCCCAATCAGAGAGAACACCGCCTAGAATCCGAAGTCTGGTTCAGAGCCTACTATCCAGCTCTCAATCCAGAAACCCCACCTAGACCTGGGACATGCAGCTCAGAGGGTATGGTAGATAGAAGCAGGACCTGGGGCCCATTCTGGATCCCATGTTTAGTCCAGAGTCTTAGGCTACAGCTCCCCATGGAGCAGCCTAGAACCCAGACCCCAATGCAGCGTCTAGACCCCAGAATTCAGACCATACTCTGAAGCCCCTCGCAGTAACGCATTAGCCCTCTAAGCACATGAACCTAGAACCCAGGTCCCAAACGAGAGGTTTTCGTCCAACTGCCTACGAACCAGGCCCAATGCCGTACACAGAGGTTCCCTGTGGAACCCAGAGGGCAGGACTCAGCCCAGAGCCTAGAATGTGAAGCTCAGAATGCAAACCAGCATTTAGAAACTCATTGGATCCAGGAGCTCATTCTAGAACCCTGAGCCCAACTGGCAGCACAGAGCTCCAACCATCATCCAAAACCCAGCTCATAAGCCAGAGCTGAAGCAAGAATCCAAAACTCAACCTAGAAACTAGAGATCATAGCAATGTCCAGAATCCATAGCTCAAGTCTTCTTCTTAAAAAAAAAAAAACATATATATATATATATATATATATATATATATATATATATATATATATATATTTGATTTTTTTACAGAGAAGAAAGGAGAGGAATGGAGAGCTAGAAACATCGTTGAGAGAGAAACATCGACCAGCTGCCTCCTGCACACTCCCCACTGGGGATGTGCCCACAACCAATGTACATGCCCCTGACCAGAATCGAACCAGGGACCCCTCAGTCCCCAGACCGACGCTCTATCCACTGAGCCAAACCAGCTTTGGCATCGGGTCTTTTTTTTTTTTTTTTTTTTTTTAATATATTTTATTGATTTTTCACAGAGAAGAAGAGAGAGGGATAGAGAGTTAGAAACATCGATGAGAGAGAATCATCGATCAGTTGCCTCTTGCACACCCCCTACTGCAACCAAGGTACATGCCCTTGACCGGAATCGGACCCAGGACCTTTCAGTCCGCAGGCCGACACTCTATCCACTGAGCCAAACCGGTCCTGGCGGCATCGGGTCTTTTTTAAAAAATATATTTTTATTGATTTCAGAGAGAAAGAGAACATCAATGATAAGAGAGAATCATTGACTGGCTGCCTCTTGCACTCTCTCTACTGAGGATCTAGCCCACATCCCGGGCATGTGCCCTTGACAGGAATTGAACCCAAGACCCTTCATTCCACAGGCCTATGCTCTCATCCACTGAGCCAAACCAGCTAGGGCCACAGCTTAGGTCTTAATCCATCGGTCCGTAGAGCATCCTCCCCCTACCCCAAAACTGAAAGCTCAAATCAACATCCAGAACCCAGATTCAAGCTGTCGTGCGGAGCTCAAAACAGAACCCTCAGCCCGCCCTACCAGTATCTAGAAAGGATGCCACCAAAACTGGTTTGGCTCAGTGGATGGAGTGTTGGCCTGCGGACACAAGGGTCCCAGGTTCAATTCCGGTCAAGGGCATGGACCTTGGTTGCGGGCACATCCCCAGTGGGGGCGTGCAGGAGGCAGCTGATCGATGACTCTCTGTCATCAATGTTTCTAACTATCTCTCTCCCTTCCTCTCTGTAAAAAAATCCATTATATATATATATATATATATATTTATTTATTTAAAAAAGGATGTCACCACCCACACTCCACCTAGAAACCCAGTCCTAGCTTAGATTCCAACATACAAAAAGTCAGGAACCCAGAGGCCAGGCTAGACCCGGGGAGGAGGCTCCCTGGAGCCTAATCCAGAACGTCTGTTCTGATGGAGAGCCTAGAGCCGTAGCCCAGAGTCTGGCATAGAACACAAAGCATAGAACCTGGCCCCGGCCGAGAATTCCCACCCATCACCTGGCACCCCAGGCTCACCAGAGGAGGGGGAGGACGGGCCTGGGGCGAGGAAGAATATACCCAGCCAATGCCCAGCCCCCTGGGTAGAGGGCGAGGGGCTGGAGCATGGGGCGGTGTCTCCCGGTCACATCGTGATCAGTGTTCCTCTCGTGGGTCACGGGCCAGGATCCTTCGGGTCGCCCTGGGCAAGCATAACCTGCAGAGGCGAGAGGCCACCCAGCAGGTGCTGCGGGTGGTCCAGAAGGTGCCACACCCCCAGTACAACGCCCGGACCCACGACAACGACCTGCTGCTGCTGCGGTTGCAGCAGCCGGCCCGACTGGGGCGTGCGGTGCGGCCCATCCCCGTGGCCAGGACCTGCGCCAACCCGCAGACGCCGTGCCGCGTGTCCGGCTGGGGCACCACGTCCAGCCCCATCGGTGAGGACTCCCGCGCCCTGGAAAGGAGCGGACTGGGGGCTGGGCTCCGGGTCCGAGGGAGGAGGAGGCAGCGGCGGGTCCCCACATTCCAGGGTCCTACTGGCCGGTAGACCCACGCCCTGATCATTCAGTGCCTCCCCAGCCAGGTACCCCAACTCTCTGCAGTGTGTGAACATCAACATCACCTCCCGTCAGCAATGTGAGCAGGCCTACCGGGGAGCAATCACCCCCGGCATGGTCTGCGCAGGAACTCCGGAAGGCGGGAAGGACTCTTGTCAGGTGAGGCCCAGGGTGAGAGCCGGGGAGGGAGGTGGGCAGGGAGATGGCTTGGGGCCACGATCTCAATGCAAAAGCATCTCAGGAGCATCCAAGACCTTGAGAGATTGGGATAGGCAGGCGGCCTCCTAGCTGGGAGCCCTCACGTCGGACCTAATCTCTCTGTGCCTCAGTTTCCTCCTCTGTCGAGAGGAGGTAGCACCGCGTAGAGCAGTTGTCCCTGGAAAGAGCGTGGAGCCGTGCCTGCACGTAGCTCTGGTCGCTGCTCTGGTTGTCCGGATCATGCATGCACACCTGGGGATCTGAGCTCAGGGTCTCCAGGCCTCTCACGCCATCCCCGGGACACGGCTCCAGAGACAGGGGTATGTGAGGAGCCACACAGTTTTCTAGAGGCAGAGCTAAGACGAAGGGGGGCTCCATTTGGCCCAGAGTCAGCAGGGACCAAAGAGGGAAGGTAGGGGCCCAACCCTGGGGCTATGTCTGCAGTCTTCCCCCAGCCCCCATCCTCACCCCCGTCTCAGCTGTGTGCCTCCCCGTCTCTGCCTCTGGCTGCTCCATGCACGTGTCCATGTCCATCTGTCCTCGGGTGCCTCCATCGGGGTCTCTCCCGCTCAGGGAGACTCCGGGGGACCCCTGGTGTGCAAAGGGAAGCTCCAGGGCCTGGTGTCCTGGGGGATGGAGCGCTGTGCCCTGCCTGGCTACCCTGGCGTCTACACCAACCTCTGCAAGTACTACGACTGGATCCATCAAACCATTCAGAGCACATGATCGCCGCCCGTGTGAGGGAATATCAGTGCCAGACCGCTGCCCAGACCTGCTCTCGCCACGCCAGACCAACGGCTCCTTGGCCCCCCAGCCCTCCTCTCTCAGACCCAGGGGTCCAGGCCCCCAGGCCCTCCTCCCTCAGACCCAGGGGTCCAGGCTCCCAGTCCCTCCTCCCTCAGACCCAGGGGTGCAGGAGCCCAGCCCCTCCTCCCTCAGACCCAGGAGTGCAGGCCCCCAGCCCTTCCTCCCTCAGACCCAGGGGTCCAGGCCCCCAGCCCCTCCTCCCTCAGACCCAGGAGCCCAGGCCCCAGCCCCTCCTCCCTCAGACCCAGGGGTCCAGGCCTCCAGCCCCTCCTCCCTCGGACCCAGGCATTATTCTATTTATTTGGAGTCCAGGCCCCCAGCATCCTGGTCCTATCACCTAGCTCTGAGGTCCCTCAGATGTTCTCTCCCCACCCCCACCGCATCATCACCCTCGACACAGAGGCGGGAGCATGAAGGCACCACACTTGGCAGCATATTCGAAGAAGAAGGCAGTGTTCAAAACGTTCAGAGTCTCTGAAAACCAGATGAATAATAATAATAATTAAAGTGGAATAATCCCAGATTCCGCTCCTCTATTCATTGAGCTCATCCAACACATATGCACACAGCAGCTCCCATGTGCACAGCTCAGCCCCTGGCTGGCCGAACGGGATGCCTGTGGACTTCTGGGTGTTCCCTGGGGCCCTACCACACCCCCCTCCACCGGGGGAGGCCCCCACACTGCAGTGGGACCCCGAGCAGGACGGCCCCTCCCCCGGCCGGGACTGCTACTTCCCATGAGCAGGCACTGCCAGGGCGCAGGGCAGCGAGGGCAGAGAGGAACTCTGTTTCCTGGAAAACCCTATGCAAATGGAGCAGCCTCTTCCCTAATCAGATCTCGGGTGAAGAGAGTTGAGTTAATCACACGCCGAAGTTCAAGTCCTGGCAGGGCCCGACTCTCTCTCTCTCTCTCTCTCTCTCTCTCTCTCTCTCTCTCTCTCTCTCTCTCTCTCTGGAGGTATTGGTTTATTTCCACCTGTCATCATCCTGGCCCCGGTCCCCTCCCCTCCCACCCACGGGCACCTGACGCAAATGGCCTCCCATGCCTGCTCATTGTCCAATGCTTCTAATGTACAGGGATCCATTGTGTGATGGATTTCATTTTCTTTCTGGCTTTCACTCACCAACAGCTATTTTTTGGGGGAGCACCTACTGGGCACCAGCATGGGCCAGGCATTGGTCTACTATTAGACACCTACTGTGTGTCCGAGATCGGCTTATTAGTGGGCATCTACTATGTGCCAGGCATTATTCTACGTATTGGGGCCCTACAGGTGTGCCAGGCTTTGATCTGCTGATTAGGCACCCACTGTGTGCCAGGCATTGGCCTGCTGATTAGGCACCTACTGTGCATGCCAGGCATGTTCTAGAAGGTGGAACTGTGCATAAGTCAGACAAAACCACTAGTAAATGCCTCCTCTCACAGAGCTGACATCCTAGCAGGAGATGACAGACGAGAAACAAGAAACTTAATAAAAGTAAGGTAGAGAGTCCGGGTAAGTAAAAAGGTCCATAAACTTGGGCTGGGCGGCAGACCCAGTGTGTGCCAGAGCCAGCTCATAACCGGCCCAGAAGAGCCCCTTGGCAAATTTTCAGGAATTTTTGAGAGCGGGTTGCCAAACACAGCCATTATTATTAAACATTGAATTGCACAAACTCACAATTAAACAAGGTGTATTTAAAACAAAATCCAGTCCAGCCGGAGCGGCTCAGGTGGTTGAGCGTCGTCCTGTGCACCGAAAAGTTGCCAGTTCGATTCCCAGTCAGGGCACATACCTCGGTTGTGGGTCTGCTCCCCAGCAGTGGTCGGCAGACTCATTAGACCACAGAGCCAAATGTCGACAGGACAACAATTGACATTTGTTTCGAGAGCCAAAGTTTTTAAACTTAAACTTCTTCTAATGCCACTTCTTCAAAAATAGACTCTCCCAGGCCGTGGTGTTTTGTGGAAGAGCCTTATGCAAGGGGCCAAAGAGCCCATGTGGCTCGCGAGCTGCAGTTTGCCATGGCTTCCCAGGGACATGTACAAAAGGTAACTAATAGATGTATTTCTCTCTCTCTTCTCTCCTCTCTCAAAGCATGTTCATTAAAAAATGAAATATGACAAAACCAGTCTGGCTCAGTGGGTAGACCATCGGTCTGTGGACTGAAGGGTCCCAGGTTCGATTTTGGTCAAGGGCGTGTACTTTGGTTTCAGGCACATCCCCAGAGGGGGGTGTGCAGGAGGCAGCTGGTCGATGTTTCTCTCTCAATGTTGTTTCTAACTCTCTATCCCTCTCTCTTCCTCTCTGTAAAAAATTAATAAAATATATATTTTTAAATGAAATAAATAAAGCTGAAATAAAAAAAAAAACACTCAAAACTAACTAATTCCTAATTATCTTTTCCAATATTTATGCTTTGGCGTTATTTATATCTATCACATTACATCTGTAATGGTGAGCTTCTGAGCATTGTATTTTTAAAAATACTTTTTTGATTTTAGAGAGAAAGGGAAAGGGGGAGAGAGAGAAACATCAATGATGAGAGAGAATCATCCATTAGCTGCCTCCTGCATGCCCCCTACTGAGGATTGAGCCTGCAACCTGGGCATGTGCCCTGACAGGGAATCAAACCATGACCTCAAGGTTCACAGGTCGATGCTCAACCACTGAGCCACACCGGCAGGGCTCAGCATCTGTTTTTTTCTTTTCTGATTCAGTGTCAAGCGACTTTGCAATGGTAGGTTGATATCAACTCAAGGGGCAGTGTTTACACCACAGAAATGGGCAAACAGTGCACATCAGAGAGCTGTTGTCCGTCGCCGACACACTCCTGGACAGGCCGCCCTGGGGGCAACCAGCTGACCTTGGTGTCTGTCTTCTCATAGCTCCGTGCTGGGGGGCGTCGTCTGGCTTCACCTGTGCCCATGTGCCGTGCTGAGGGGACAGCACAGAATCAGAGAGCTCTGAGCTGGCAGCTCTGGGCCCTGTGTGACCACAGCAGCTCAGAGGATTTCCAGGAAATGTCCTGGCTCCGTTGCTCAGAGCACCATCTGGATACGCTGAGGTTGTGGGGTTGATTCTCAGGGCACACACAGGAATCAATCAGTGAGTGCATAAGTGGGCAGAGCAATCTCTCTCTCTCTCAAAATTAATAAATTGGCTCAAAATTAATAAATTGGCTCAGTGGGTAGAGCATCAGCCTGCAGACTGAAGGGTCCTGGATTCAATTCCAATCAGGCCACATGCCTGGGTTGCAGGCTCAATCCGCCAGTAGGGGGCGTGCAGGAGGCAGCTGATCAATGATTCTCTCTTGCCATTGATGTTTCTATCTCCCTCTCCCTTCCTCTCTGAAATCAATTAAAAAAAAAAAAGAATTTATAAAAAAAATAATAATAATTGATAAAAATTAATAGCCCTAACCGGTTTGGCTCAGTGGATAGAGCGTCGGCCTGCAGACTGAAGGGTCCCAGGTTTGATTCCGGTCAAGGGCATATATCTTGGTTGTGGGCACATCCCCCATGTGAGGTGTGCAGGAGGCAGCTGATCAATGTTTCTCTCATTGATTTTTCTAACTCTCTATCCCTCTCCCTTCCTCTCTGTAAGAAATTAATAAAAAAAATATATATTTTAATTAATATTTTTTTTTAATTCAAAAGAAAAGAAAAGACTGCTGGGCAATGGAGACTGCACTTGTGTCGAGGTCTCTCTCTCTCTCTCTCTCTCTCTCTCTCTCTCTCTAGCACACAAACACACACACACACGCACGCACGCACTCATGCACACTCACACACACTCACTGTGGCCAAACCAGCTCTGTGAGGCCGGGGAAAATAAGCAGCGGCGTGGCTGGGTCGTGTCAGGCCTGGGTGAGACGAGGATAGGACACAGCCCTGCTGTAACTCTCTGCCTGCCTCCTTCCAGAAAACAAAGTAAACATGTCTTCAAGATTACTCTGATCTGATTTCCAGCCCAGACGCCCAGCTGTGGAGGTTGAGTGCCATCTTTTATTGCTTCTCAGATGCACATTTCTTTCTTAATTTTTAATGTTTCTAAAAGTGGAGGGCAGCTCTGGGCATTGAAGGGTCTTGGGTTTGATCCCCAGTGAAGGGTATATAGCTGGGCTGCAGGTTCAATCTCTGGTCCTGGTTGGGGTATGTGAGGGAGGCAACCAATCCATCTCTCTCCCTTCTCCTTCTCCTCCTTCTCCTCCTTCTCCTCTTTCTCCTTCTCCTTCTCCTTCTCCTTCTCCTTCTCCTCCTCCTCCTCCTCCTCCTCCTCCTCCTCCCCCTCCCCCTCCCCCTCCCCCTCCCCCTCTCCCTCCCCTCCTCCTTCTCCTCCTTCTCCTCCTCCTTCTCCTTCTCCTCCTTCTCCTTCTCCTCCTTCTCCTTCTCCTCTTTCTCCTCCTCTTCCTCCTCCTCTTCATCCTCCTCCTCCTCCTTCTTCTTTTTCCTCCTCTCCTCCTCCTTCTTTTTTCCTCCTCCTCTCCTCCGCCTTCTTTTTTTTCTCCTCCTCTCCTCTCCTCCTCCTCCTCCTCCACCTCCTCCTCATCTTCCTCTTCCTCCTCCACCTTCTCTTTCCTTCCTCCCTCCCTCCCTTACTCCCTTCCTCTCTCCCTAAAAATCAATGGAGCCCAGCTGGTATGGCTCAGTGGTTGAGTGTCAACCTAGGAACCAGGAGGTCATGGTTCGATTCCCGGTCAGAACACATGCCCAGGTTGTGGACTTGATCCCCAGTGGAAGGTGTGCAGGAGACAGCCGATCCACGATGTTCCTCTCTTATGGATGTTTCTATCTCTCTATCCCTCTCCCTTCCTCTCTCTCTCTCAAAAAAAAAAAATCAATAAAATCATACTTTTAAAAAATCAATGGAAAAAAATATCCTCAGGTGAGGATTAGCAACAAAAAAAATTTTTTTAACGCAAAGGCATATTACAACTGATAGTATCAGCACAGTGTCATAATTTGTCAAACCCCCCCCCCTTTTTTTTTTTTAAATTCTCATCCAAGGATATTTTTTCCATTGCTTTTTAGAGAAGAGAGAGAGAGAGAGGGAGGAAGGGACGGAGGGAGGGAGGGAGGGAGGGAGGAACATTGATGTGAGAGAGACACAGCA